TGTCAGGAAATTTCTCCTTAGTTCTAAGTTGCTTCTCTCCTTGATTAGTTTCCACCCATTGCTTCTTGTTCTACCCTCAGGTGCCTCGGAGAATAGTTTGACTCTGTCTTCTTTGTGGCAACCCCTGAGATGTTGGAAGACTGCTATCATGTCTCCCCTAGTCCTTCTTTTTATTAAACTAGACATACCCAGTTCCTGTAACCCTTCTTCCTATGTTTTAGCCTCCAGTCCCTTAATCCTCTTTGTTGCTCTTCTCTGCACTCTTTCTAGAGTCTCCACATCTTTTCTACATCATGGCAACCAAAACTGGATGCCGTATACCAAGTGTGGCCTTACTAAGGCCTTATAAAGTGATATCAACACTTCACATGATCTTGATTCTATCCCTCTGCTGATGCAGCCTAGAACTGTGTTGGCTTTTTTGCACACAACTGCCTCCTATTTAAGTGGTTGTCCACTAGGACTCCAAGATCCCTCTCACACTACTATTGAGCCAGAAACCACCTATACTGTACTTGTGCATTTCGTTTCTGTTGCCTAAATGTAGAACCTTCCTTTGTTCACCATTGAATTTCATTTTATTAGATAGTTCAAGTCTGTCAAGACCATTTCAGGAGTGGCGTGTTGCGACACGCTAAGCTGAATCTGTTTATTGTGGCTTAGCATCTTGGGTCGACTCAGCATGTTTGGTTTATTCACGGCTCAGTGGAATCCAGAACAGGAGCTAATTCCATAACATGGTTGAGTCCGGCCAACGTGTAACTGACTCAACTCTCTACCTCATTAGACAAGCAAAAGATCTATGCCCGAAATCATTTCCAATCACTGCGGAGCTAATTAGATTAATTCCCAGACTCAATGTCTTATAGATGTTTATGCTTGGAATGCCAATTCCCCTAAGCCTCAGCCAACAAGGGTAGGGGACAATGGGAATCACAGTCCAAGCTATCCAATCTAAACATCAACTGCTTACTGATACAAGTAGTTCTTGACTTACGACCCAAAAATCTATGTTGCTGAGTAAAACATTTGTTCAGTGAGTTTTGCCCTGTTTTACGATCTCTTATAGTTGTTAACGTGAATCATTGCAGTTGTTAAGTTAGTAGTACGGTTGTTAAGTGAACCTGGCTTCCCCATCGATTTTGCTTGTCGGAAGGTCACAAAAGGAGATCCTTTTAAGACACAGCAATTGTCCTAAACATCCGAATTTTGATCTCATTACAATGGGGACGCTAAGGGTGAAAAACGGTCCTAAGTTGATTTTTTTCCAGTGCCGTCGTAACTTTGAACAGTCCCTAAATGAATGGTTGTAAATCAAGGACCACCTATACACGAAGAACTAGACTTCTCTTTAGGTTGCTTCCAACAGGATGCATCTTAAACATCAATGAAAAGTTGACACATCCAGAGGTGATAGTTGGATGGATGGCAAATTGGGAGCCCAAGAATTCTGATTATTATACTGTAGGCTGTTTTGTGGGTCTCTTTCTTTGAAGAAGGTATCCAGTGGACTCTTGGCCATCCACACACACCCTCAAGCGCTGTCTAAATTAACTCCATGCTCCTAAAACATCACCTACGCATAGTTCTCAACATGCAACCTAAGCAAGAGATTGGGCAACCATTTGTCAGAAATGGTATAGGGCCGTGATGGTGAACCTATGGGCACATGTGCCACAGGTAGCATGCAGAGCCCTCTCTGCGGGCACATGAGAATCACCTAAGCTCAGGTCCAGTGTGCATGCGCACGTGCCTCCCACCGGCCCGCTGATTTTTGAGTCTCTGCCATGCATGTGCAATGGGGGGTAGTGTGGCGCACCCTGTCCACGGCCCATTTATGGTCCCAGGAGGCTGCAGGGAGCCCTACTAGGCCCAAAATGGGGCATAGGTGGTTGGCATTCCCCCACCGCGCCCTGTTTTTGGTCCCAGGAGGCTGCTAGGAGGCCTACTAGGCCCAAAATGGGGCATAGGTGGTTGGCATTCCCCCACCGCGCCCTGTTTTTGGTCCCAGGAGGCTGCTAGGAGGCCTACTAGGCCCAAAATGGGGCATAGGTGGTTGGCATTCCCCCACCGCGCCCTGTTTTTGGTCCCAGGAGGCTGCTAGGAGGCCCACTAGGCCCAAAAACAGGATGCGGGAGGGGGTGCATGCATTGATGGCGGGGGGAGCACAGGAGTCACACACTTGTGCAGGGTGGGGGAGCATGGGGGGTCACACATGCATGTGCAGAGGGTATGGGGGGGTCATGTGCGCATTGCATTACTTTTGCCACGGGATGACAAAAAGGTTAGCCATCCCTGATGTAGGGTTTCCTGCTTTAGAGATGGCTGGATTGCAACAGGGGTGTCAAACTCAAGGCCCAGGGGCCGGATCTGGCCCGCAGGGTGCTTAGATCTGGCCCACATGGCAATCCTGGAAACAGCAAAGGATTGGCCCGCGGTGCCTCTTCCAATGAAAACAGAGCTCAGGGGTTCGTTTTCTCTGACAGAGCACTCGTGCCATCACAGGTGCCCTGAAACGAGTGACGTCAAGCTGGCCATGCCCCCACTGGCCAAACCCATCCCAGCCTCCCACCCCATCCCCCAGGTCAAGCAATGAAATCGAGTTTGAGAGCCCTGGACTAGAAGGCCTCCAACGTTTCTTCCAAGAGCCAAGGTGGTGCAGTGGTTAGGGTGCAGTACTGCAGGCCACTTCAGCTGACTGTGATCTGCAGTTCAGCGGTTCAA